GCTGCGTTCCTACCAGCCAAGGTCAAGCCCACCTTTAAAGAGCTTTTTAACTCTTCTGGAATAAAGGAGAATAAAGTTCCTTTATTCCTCTCAAGGAATGAAGTTACTTCCTGAACTAGCGAGGGTACCATTTCTAATACAACAGGCTTTGTGCTGTAACATCACCATGAAAAGTACTTTTTAGAGAGCGCACTTGCTCCGATTGCATGTTAACACAACTGCATGAATGTGCAGGCAGGGCACAGCTACCAAATAGCAGCTCCTTCACGTTCCCTGATCGGCTTCCCGCCTCCCAGCTGCATGCCTGGCCTGTCTAGTAGGGAATTAGAGTCACCTCAGCAGAACACAGAGCCCAGAACTTAATTTGGCAGACAAATGCAGTTATGATCGAGGGACTCAGACAACTCTCTTATGAGGAAAGACTAAGCGAGCTGGGCATGTTTAGCCTGGAGAAGAGACGACTGAGAATCTGATCAACATGTACAAGTACCTGAGGTGTGAATGTAGGCCAAACTCTTGGGGCCAACTCTTGGGGGCCAAACTCTTCTCGGTGGTGGTCAGCAATAGAACAAGGGGTAATGGGTATAAATTAAAACACAGGAAGTTCCGCCTCCACGTGAGGAAGAATTTCTTTACTGTGAGGGTGACAGAGCCCTGGCACAGGCTGCCCGGAGAGGCTGTGGAGTCTCCTTCCCTGGAGATCTTCCAAACCCACCTGGATGCCACCCTGTGCCACGTGCTCTGTCTGGAGCAGCGGGGTTGGACTGGATGATCTTTAGAGGTCCCTTCCAACCTCAGCCATTCTGTGATTCTGAATTAATTAGCTTATTTAAAAATGGAACAGGTAAGATTTACAATTAAATAAGCTACAACCTTAGTCTTGTTCAGACAGGACTAATTTTACCTTACTGAATTCTACCCAAAATTTCTTCAACAGAGAAGCAAAATTGTTTTCCTTCTTTATTATTAATGGCCATGGCCATAAGGCATGGCTGAGCCATTTCTGGGGAACAGATCCTGTCATCTGGCCAAAATGGATATATCAGTAGT